AAAAATTTTTTGGGGTTTTTTTTTTTTTTTTTTTTTTTTTTTTTTGAGACAGGGTCTCACTGAGCTACACAGGCTGACTTTGAACTCACAGTGATCCTCCTGCCTCAGCCCCCTTGAGTTCTGGGATTACAGGCATGCAGTAGGTGTGCCTGGCTATTTCTTGGAGTTTTGAGCCTAATTTTACTTTTGTATACGAACGACATAGTGAGATTTCATTCTACAGTAATGGTGGTGATGTTGATCTAGCCTGAATATTTTTCAGATGCTATGTCTGAAAACTAGCTCTAATAACTGTAAATGTAAAGTGAGATTTTTTTGTTGTTGCTGTTGCTTTAAAGCCAGTGAGTGACTCGGATTTGAGTCATTGATAATTGGCTTGTGGTATTACATAATAACATTACTGACAGAAGCTACTGTCATCAATAAGCCAAGCTGCAGTCATTACCTAAGCAGTATTACTGACTTTGGCCGTATTTCAGAACATTTTGTTGTGCCACATTTAATCCTATTTTAATTTTTTTTTTTTTGAAAATGTAATTCATCCATTTGCCTTTGGGTTAGCAGGTTTTTAACTTTATCATAGAGTATTTTCTCCTTAAAAAGCCAGGTGCAGTTAAAGAGACCAATATAAATTAGGTTAAAACCTTAAGAGTAGAAAGAAGTGACATTTGACAATCTGATAATCATGGATCATAAGAAACTTGACCCTGGGAGAAAATAGTTTTTAATTTTTTTTTGGTTTATTTTTTGTTTCCCTGTTTATAAGGGGGAGTGGTAATGTAATGATAATTATTTTGATGTAATTTTCACATCCTCAGTATTAAGAGTTTGTTCTTGTGGTAGTAAAGCAGTATGCTTAACAAATTAATAACTTATCTTTCATTTCCTGTCCTGAAGAATGCTACCACCCTTCATTAGTCACTAAGCCAGAAAGTTGGAAACTACTCTTTGTTTTTTGTTTTCACTTAATCACTAAGTTTTATTCATAAGTTCTCTTGGATTTGCACTTTTTCATTATTTCTGCCCCAATTGTCACTTCCTAACACACATACCTCTCTTAAGTGGGGAATTGGGGTGCTTACTGTGTACCCTTGTCCTTTCTCACTTGCATAACTCTCCACTGGATTGCTCTGTGTGGTTGATCTCAGGACTGTAACGCTTCTACTCCAATCCAGCCTTCACATTGTCGCTATACTTCCCCAAATGCAAATTTGATTGATCCTTCGGTGGTCTTCCACTGTGTTCAGTGTGAAGTCCAAACTCATTGGCTTGGTTTCACTGTTTTTTAGTCTGGGGATTGCTTTCTGCCTGCACATCACAAACTCAGTAAGCTGTGACTAATATTTTATATTTTTATTAATGTAAAATAGAGTAATAGTATCATAGTACATCATATTTAGTAAGGGTAAAACTTTTTCAGTTATTCATGTACTTATGTGTGTACCAGTAATATTACAAGATTTACTTTTGAGAGTTGATTGTGGCCGAGAGTTTGGTGTACATTGCCCCATTTTTCCATGTGAAGTGATTGTAGTCATTTCTGCTCACGTAGATTTTCCTTTTTTTTTTTTTTTTTTGGTAGTGTGGGTCGAACTTGGAACCTTGTGAGGAAGGCAGCAGCACCACTGAGCTAAATCTCTGACCCCTTGGGAGTCTTTTTCTAATGACAGTTTAATGTAAGAAATAAATTGTAATGCAGTCAAGTGTGCAGTATCTGGAAAAAATTCATGAACTAATACCCTTACTCTTGTGAAGTGCATTGACACTCTGCCTTCTGTCTTTGAATGTCTTACATAGTACTCATCTTGTCTCTTTTACCAGTCTATTTTTCTTGAAGATAGTGTCTTCCTTCTCATGTATTCACTGTGTCAAAGAATAGTATATATTAGTAAATGTTGCTTGAGCTAATAAAATAGTGAATTGGTATATTTTATGTAAAACTCTTTACAATGTTATTATTTTTTGTTTGTACTGTAGAAATTAACTTTTATGGTTGACTTGGTGGTTTAATTATAGGAGGGTATCTGTTTTTCTTAAAACATTTTAAACTGAGACATCCCTTTCGGAAATTGGTACATATATCATTCTTGATAATTTTCTGTATCTTTACTCCTCCCTCCTGTCTCCTTCCTGCTTTTTCTGATCTGTTTCCCCATCTTCAAAAAGCCTGCCTCCCTGTTTCTTATCATTTCTCCTTTATTTTGATCTTTATTTATATTTTGTGTTTCTCAAATAAGAGGAACCATGGAATATTTAACTGTGTCTGACTTATTCAACTCAAGGACGCATCCATTTTTCTGCAAATGACTTGAATTCATTCTCATTATGGTTGAATAAAATTCCATTGTGTATGTATGTACTACATTTTCTTTATCCCTTCATTTGTTGAAGGGCATCTAGGCAAATAGAAGTTTGAAACTTCTATTTCAAACTTTGTTCTCTGTTATCAATTGTAACTAGGTACTTCTGGCCTCTCTTCTTGATAGACATTACCTTGCATGTGTCACATTAGTGATCTCAGAATCTGTTGTTATTTTGTGATTTGTGATCGAGAATGTTTATGTGCCCAGATGCTGAATGCATATTGTTTGATTTTATGAGAATTGGGTGATTTCAAAAGAGAGAACTTTCATGTATAATGGTAATCAAATATAAATTCTGGGGGAATAGATTGGATACGAGACAGACTCAAGTGTTGTTATCTTTTCATTTTTCTGAATTTAAAATTTTTGTGATTGACATTTTCACAGAATGTTTAGCTGTTTACAATTTTTGTCTTTGTGAAAAATCATTATTTGTTAAAACATTAATAGGTTCTCATGGAGAACTGCTATTGAAGAGAGGTCCATTTGGTGGAATGTAATTTAAAAAAGAATGAATCAAGATAAAATTTCTAAATGCATGAACCAGAAAAATCACAGCACATCTTGGTGAACTTGGAATTGGTAAGTTTGTATTTGATTTTACATGGAACTATATTTGTGATTTATATGGCTTACTATCCTTGGAGTCTAATGTTTAGATACTACTATTAATTGTATTCATTGTAAATGAATTAATTTATATTTTTATATTAATTTTGACTAAACATTTTTTTGTAAGGATGTTTTCAAGGGGAAGATAATATGTAAGTAATATAAGCTTCAGAAACATCTTTCTAAATTGTAAAGCTTGTATGGCTTTATAAGATTTTTCTGCATTGCATTTTAACAATTAATTTTAGAAGCATTTAATATATAAAGCAACTAGAGGCTCAAATTATATACTTTGTTTGTAAGGTTATCAGTGTCCCTTAGGCTATTTCTGTTTTTCAGTTGGTTGAAAAGGACTTGGAATTATACATATTTATTGATACACTTAGACAAACATAAAATATTAATACAATATGAATCCTCACTATTTTCCTACGTCAGTCCCAGGATGACCACTGTTAGCAGTTTGGTTGGTATGTTTTTCTTCCAGACATTTTTTCTGTGTCTATGCACAAATTACTTATGTTATTATTTTTTCTAACAAAAAATGTTATATAAACCATTCTGTACCTTGCTTCCCCAACATTTAATTTTGAAATTTGAAGTTTCAAACAGAAACATGGAAATCAGTTTTACAGTGTAATATCTGATTACCCTTCACTTAGATTTCGTAACTAATATTTTACTGACCTTCACGACATCCCTATCTTTCTCTCTGTCCATCCATCAGTCAACTTTATTATTAATTTTTGGTTCTATTTTAAAGTGAATTTCAGACATCAGTATATTCCTTGCAAAAAACACATGTACACACCTACTTCAGTATACATCTCATTAAGGAGTTCAATATTGTTTTGCAGTTTTTTAGGTTAATTTACATACCATGAAATGTACCAATCCTGATTGTATACTTCCTGAGTTCTGACAAAATTAAATACTTGAAAACTCAGCTCGATCACAAGCTGTAGGTTCATTAGCACCACAGAAAGTTCCCTCATTGCACCTTCTGAGTCTGTCTCTGCTTCCCTCATGCCACTAAGATTCCTACCCTTACTCACAGATTTTTCCTATATGACTTGTTTTATTCATTCAGTAGTGTATTATAGGCAATCATATGCAGATTTGCCTCCTTTTTTCCCTTTTTCTTCTTCCTAAATTGCAATAGCTTACAAATAGTCTATACTATTGATCTACCAGAACTTAGTTATTGCCCTCTTCTACATGGACATTAAGTTTTGTCATATTTTGATGATTACAAAAAGTGCAAAATCCTTATACATCCTTGTATGTGTATACTTTTGAACACTCATGAGTACTTCTGTAGGTATTACTAAAAGTAAAATTGCTGGGTAAAAAGGTCTTACCTTCCCCAAATGGTTCCATTAGTTTACATACACATTGGTAATGTATGAAAGTACCCTTTTCCTTGTGCCTCTTAACATTGGGCATCATCTTTCTCTTCCAAGTTTTTCAATATAGTAAATGAAAAGTATACCTAGTTATTTCACATTTTCTTAATCAGTAATGATTAGCCATTCGATTTTTTTGTCAGTTTCTTCTAATTGTATATCTAATTTTATCTGCCTCTTATAAGTCATGTGTTCTACTGTTTTTTCTCCAAGGATACTTTTAATTTTGTTTCTGGTATGTTTTGGGCTCCCAAATTTTAATTTTTATGTGGTCAAACGTGGCTTAGGGCTCTTGATTGTCAAGTGCCATCTCATTCCAAGCTTTTAGAATCAATTGCTATTTTTTTCTAATAGTTTTGCTTCTTACTGAAATTTAGAAGAGAAAGAAATATAAATTGAAGAAATGTGAAGTAAGGCCTCACGAAAATAGGTGATATGGAGAGGGAGCTTCAAATTGGCCTTGAATTATGAGTTGAATTTAAATAGAGTGAGCAGAGTGGTAGGCATGTTTCAGACAGGAGGAGTGAAGGCTAGAATATATTTTTTTCATATTCATGGGACAGTAATAAACCACTTTGGTTGAGGTAGAGTATCATATAAGTTTAGAAATATGTTTTTGGCTAGATGTTTTGCTAATTATTTTGTCTAATCTTTTGATATCAGTATTCTGATGTTACAGTTTTCTATCATATCATAGTTTTCTGTTATTTTTATTTCATAATATCTTGGTATTCTTCCTGTTGAAAATAATGTGGTAAGATACAGTTGCTTGAGAAGGCAAAAAAGGAAAGGCGATATACCATTGGAATAATTTGGTCATCATAAATATTAACTCAGAATAGTTTATTAGACTTCAATTATACTTTCTTTAAAAATAGTTTGTGCTGTAGTAATTTACATAATTATGAAGTTAGTCACTGCACTCAACTGTAGTTATCAGATAGCAATCTTAAAAAATGTTGAAGTACCAGTATATCCACTAGTCACATCAAAGTTTGAATTACGAGCACACCGCTTAATGTACAAATTAATGTGTTGGAATCTGCAGTAATGGAAGTATTTTATAAATGCTATCCTTTGGATGAAGCAGCAGCACTTGCTCGCGTGGGTGCTGCTGAGGATGTGCAATGCTTCTGCTCAGCCAGCAACCACGCCTGAGCCTGTAGCCAGCAGCTGAGCCGAGTGGGGAGCGCCTGCTGTCCTCTGGGCCATTACATATTTGTGGTTGTGGTTGGATTTGGGGCTCTTGGAAGACCACTGCTTTATTTTCTACAGCCCTGTTGCAAAGATTATGTGGCACTAAGTTTTACTAATATCAGGTATTTATTTTAAATATTTAATATTTGTTTTATTTATTCTTATCCTGTGCTGACTTTTCCTTGAGTATGCCTGTTCTTTTAGAGTTTGTTATATCTGTGTTTATATTCAGGAAAACTGGGCACATTTTAAAATGATACTTCTTTTACTGTGTAATATTTCCTGTTGTGAAGGTTTTTAGTGATAATAGAAATGTTAATTTTTGGTAAAGGGATAAAAATAGAGTTCAAAAACTAAATATTTAATAGTTATCCCACTTGTTTTGTTGGCCTACATGCTCTTCTGTTTCTAATGATAAAAGTTATTCTATCCTGTGTAATTATTGGAATTCATTCTTTTTTTAAAGTACTGCATAGAACCAAAACATTAAAAGAAAGGTACATGGGCCGGGAAATTAGCTCAGTGGCACTGCACACACCTTGTAAGTGCAAGGTCCTGAGATGGATCCCTGGTACCAAAAAAAAAAAAAAAAAAAAAAAAAA